CGGTGACTTAGCACAATACCAACCCCTGCACATCCCCCCGCAGCAGCCTCTGGATCACCAGAGGTGCGTAGCCGGAAGCGAGTGGAGACCGACGGGGCGGTTAGTTCAACCCCTGTGCTTGCATCTTGAATTCTCGTTTCTGAGACACAGCACACATCAATGCCAAGCGAGTCCAGTGTGAGTGCAAGAGCAGCTTGTTGTCCTGCTTGCTTCAGAGTGCGAACATTGAACGCGACCAGATAGACTGGATGTCGAGACTTGAGGACTGATTTGGGGATTCCTGAAGATGTCAGCACCATGTGACGAGCAGATGCTGCACGCAAAACCGATGCATGACGAACGGAGTCATCAGTCCTAAGTGCTGGGCTTACAAGGAGAGAGTTATTAATGGGGTGGAGAGGGAAGGAAGAAAAAGTATGTGAAGGAGAAAGAAGGAAGGCGTCAGCAGTGGCCTGTTTTCGCGGACACCTGCCTTCTTCTGACACCTCGGTTCACTGGAGGCGTCAGCAGTAGCCTGTTTTCGCGGACACCTGCCTTCTTCTGACACGTTTCTCGGTTCACTTGAAACGGCGCGGTTGTAGCCTGTAGCAAAAGCCTTCTCCGTCTTATGGGCCTTCGAAGTCTACCAGCGTTCTCTGTCATTCTTCAAGCTCCTGGTTATCCGGTGTTCGAGGAATCTGCGTGCGATATCACAGTCGCCAGTTGCCGGTTTGGCCTTTCTGGCAGCAATAAGATCTGCTGCTCTCGAAGATATCCAGTGTTCATTGAGTCGATTCAGATGGGCTGGACAAACTATTCTGAAAGCTGATAACCTTGCTTCTTCAACTCGCCTTCATCCTCCAAGTAATCTTCGTCGTTCACATGACTGTGCGTTTTCAGTAGCTTTCTAGCCAGATCACCTCGATACTCTTCAGCTACTGAAACTTGTCGAAGTTGATGAACGGAGCTGTTCTCTTTCGGCATGTGTGGTGCTGGCGGAAAACGAAGTGTTAGATGGTCCCGCATGGTGGCTTGATCAGAGTCCACTTGCTTACTCCAGAACGAACGAAAATCCTTAACTGAGACTCTTTATCGGTAACTGATAGCCATACGGTCCAAATGAGTCCACGAATGTCTTCTAGGTGGCCTCCAAGTAACTCGTTGTGTGCGTTTGTGTTGGAATTTCGTACTGGCCAGGAACAGACGATGATCTGCGCACAACTGAAGAAGCCGCTCTTCGTTATCGGTAAGCTCAGCATCGACTCCAAATCGACCACGTAACTGTGCTTCCTCCGGACTTGGTCGTCCAACTCGGGTATTTAAATCACCGGCCAGGATTACTATATCCGTCCTTCTTGCCGACCGAAGCAGTCGTGACAGATTTTGATAAAATTCGTCCTTCTCAGTCTCAGAACTGCTATCTGTTTGAGTGTATGGTGATACGACAAACAAACGCCGTTTGCCGCATCGGTCTGCGTTAATCTTAAGCCAGACAACCACACAGCGCAGAGGTGACTGTTCACTGGGATCCAGTCCAGTAAGGCGCTTTTAGCCTTGGAGCTGAGTGCAACTCACACACCGTAGATACCACGAGCCATTGCGTCAGAATCACCGGATACCCGAAGAGTGAAATGTGGAACATCTGGGCTCGTCCTAAAAGATGTGAGGAGCACGGTGGAAGTGGGGTCTTATATGCGTGTTTCGGAGGCACAACATACATCGATAGAGAGGGATACCTGTTGCTCAATCTGACATAGAGCACGGACATTGAAAGCTACAACGTAAATCAGGTCTTTTGAGTTTAGTAGGTGATTATTTTGGTTTATTTTCCTGGGCGATGGTTGGGACATGGAACATTGGCTAGGGGATTGGCAGATGGGTCCATTGCACTGCATTGTACGATGGGTTGAGGGAGATGAGGGAGAAGGCCGGTGTGCGAAGAGCTGCAAGGGTGAACTTCCTGGTTGCCCAGGCCAAAGAAGGGGGTTTAGTTGAGGTATACCACCTTGAGGCTTTGACTCAAAAGTTTGACCCACAAGGCAGTGGGAAGGTTTTGGGTTTTGTTCGCGGACCGTGACCCTAGCCTCTGACTCGAGTCTAACCGCGAGACAGCGGTTGTTAGGGTCTTCTTGGTGACCCTTCCCGGAGCCAAGGACTCAATAGTCTGACCTACTTGGCTGTAGGGGGCCGGCATGGCCCGGGGGCGCAGGGAGTAGGGCATTACTGTCTCACTTCTGATGCGACTGCTCACAACAGTTGCCTTTTGAGCAGCACCAAGCTTGTAAGGGACATGTTCGCAGACTGCACGTTCTGAAGCATGGCTTTGCATTTTGAAGGTGTAAGGCGCATGCAAAAAATCGTATGATGATGGTCAGTGTACTCAACAGGGCTTGCGCTTCGCTTTGCTCTTCAAAGATGAGGGCAATGTCATCTGTCCTTGCCTAATTCGAAAGGACAAAAGCCCAGAGATGGGTAGAGTGGAACCAAGCTGAAGGGAATGAAGGATGTTGCTAAGAGTTTGGGTTGTGCTGATTGAATTTCAGGGTTGGGTCCACGTGACCCTCGCTGTGCTTGGCTGGAGACACTGAACGATATGGTGGCTGATGGATGTCAATGGCATTCATCGTCAGTTCTTACCTGTATTGTCCGGTTGAGTGTTGGAGATGTAGGCACCTTGGATGTTTAAGACAGGCTAGCCTTAGGTCCCCCTCCCTGTCCCACTTTTTCCTCCAGAATAGAAGGGTTTGTTCAACTAAACTGGCATGGTTTTAGGGCAGTAGAAGACCAGTGTTCTGTGGTGTTGTTGTTGTTGCTACTGCTGCTGCTGCTGATTGCACCCATGTTCCATAATGAGCGGATGTCTCTTCACTTAGCCGATGGCTGTTTGGTCGATTTAAGTACTTGGTTTGGGCCGTGCATCAGTCACCATAAAGCCTTAGTGTTTCTCATTCATTTGTGGATAATTTTAGTTTGTTTGCTGATAATCACCCTAGATTGACGATAGTAGACATCCCTTACTAGGGCTTCACCATCAGCACAGATAATCACGGCCAGTTCCCGCTGTTAGACTTCATGCTTCGTCTCCAGGTCATGCGTTGTTCTTCCAGAGCCCACAACATTTCAGGAACAACGGTGCAAAAGATCATATGAAGAAGTTCATCAAGCCGGTCGCGCAGATTCTAAATGGTAAAGGCTACCCTTTTGCTCGTAACCTGGAATGTAATGTACATGCTGTATATAGTGGCTTTGGTTGGAAGTACTTTGAGTTCCAGTTACTTTAGCTTACTTCCTGTCCTGAATGAGTTTAATTCGGTTTCTTGGATGTCTGTAATCGACCTGCTCAACTATGGCGGTCAGTGAAAACTGCCGGTTTTCTTTCAGCTTTCGTTCGTTTACAGACGATTGCCGGTCAAATAACTAAATTGCACCTATTTAACATTTTAGGTCACAAAGTGAGCTTTCTCCTGGAATCTACTTTGGTACACTGCCATGGTTGATGTGGACGTGAAAAACTACGTCAACGATGTAAGTTGTTCGCAGTAAGGCAGAGAAGTGGCCCTTGTCTTTATATCCAGAATGATAGGTGTGCGAGTTAGCGAAGCGATGACAGGCAACCAATTTGAAGGCGGGGGATGAGACAAAGGTCAAGAGGATGTATCGCATTTATGATCACGTACTTCGTTCGAATCATTTAAGTACTGCAGGTTTCTACATGCATGAATGGCTCATAACGCCAAGGTCAACCTGCTCATTTGTTAACTCAGTATTGCTCCTCTGCAAGAAAGTGCAAATTCCGCCGAAGTTGCAAGCACTTAAGGAATCATATGTGCATTGCCAGCTTGAAGCAAACTGCACAAGAGCAAGCTTTTTGCAAAACCACGGACGTAACTCATGAAAACTTCAGGTTATCCACTTATAAGACGTCATTTTGCCTCCCGATTCAATGCATGACCCTCGAGTTGCTGGAGTTCCTTGCTTGTTAATTGTCAGTACAAGCAAGAGTGCTCCAGGCCTTATCTGATCAAGATGGCTGCTCGAAAGACCCAAGCTCACTTGGTGAGGAATTTTTTCGTCCACTGTGTTTTAGTTAAGGACACCATCGACCATGCAACGGTTGACTTTTGGAAATTCAGTATTTCCCATATAGTCTTCTGCCATATATCCTCGTCTTGGTTCGCATCCCAAATCTTTGTCCGACTGATGTGTTTTGCCAGGTGATTACTTTCTAAAGCGTTCCATCTATTGAACTCTATTTTCTACCAAAATTTGGCTAAGATCGCATACTTGTGGTAAACGGCCCCTCGCTCAGTATTCTTGCCAAAGATCATCACTGAATAGTTACCGGAGTTGCTAGTAGTAGTTTCTCGTTATTCTCCATGAATTGCTATAGTACTCTTGTCTAACCGCTCCCTGTAGCGATCCAAACCCAAGTACGGCCATATGAATACGTATCGCACTGGTGGGAGGTGGATCTTTACCATCTGCTCGAACGACGACCAGTCTTATAATGATTATTATTTCGAATTTCTAGTTGGTGTTGTACAGTATTTTGTGATCCAGAGGCATAAAGGGTACCGCTGATGCAGTATTTACCATCATACACGTTCAAGTGTAACTTCAATGAGCGGCTGTCGTAGCTAAAAATGGTCCTCAACTCCACCATTGCAGGATTCGTCTTGCTGCTCTACTGACCCCGACAAGCGGATGAGTTCAATCCATGACCGTTTTTGATCACGGTTGTTCGTTGACTGCTGGCAAACTGTATGCTAATTTACATCAACTGAATTTGGGGTTTTGCGGAATTTTTACACAATCGACCTCAGAGACATCTTTTAAGCATGTGTTTAGTCTGAGCTGCTAGATCACTGTTTTGTGGCTACCAGCTAGTAAGAGACTTGATAGATGTGCGCTTGCAGAATGTGGATCACGGCCGTCACCATTCTTCCTCCTTATTTTACAAAGGACCGGAAAAGTACATAACAAATGGATATTTTCCTCGGAATATTGCCACCTGAGGTGTGTAAAGGTATTCCGCGTTGCAATAGTCTCTTCCTCCTTGCTATTCTACGGCAGTATTGAACCAGTTTACGCGAAGTTTCACAATTCTCATCTTACACAAATGTTTCTGTCCTTTTTACCCTTGTTAACGTCACCTCAATAGCCGAATATCGAACTCCAATGGGCTATCCGGTCTTACGAACATGCAGAAACTCACTTCCGATTGCTGTGCTCAGTCTCGGACCTAGCCGGTTTGAGGCTGACCCGAATGGATGACCGGATCTATGAAGAGTTTTGCAAAGTCTTTCCAGATTTGGACGTCAGCTTACTGTCAGAAGACCAACTCAAGTCCCCGGAATCGAAAGCTGTAAGTTCCGTCCCGGCCTGCAACTTACAGGTCCGTTTAAGTGCAATCGTGCATTGAGTCCAACTTACCAGATAACTTCGATTTCGTGGAACTTCCTTTTTTCAGCTATGGCGTGACTTTTGCAACAAGTTTTCCGAAGAGCTGGAGGATTATAACCTTGCCACCTTATTCCGCTTAGACGCATCAAAAGCCTATGATGAACACAACACATGTGTCGGTAGGTTATTTCTGCTTAATCTTCACTCCCTATCAGTTCCTCGAATCCAGTTCCTCGCATTGGAAATCGCACGAAATCGACGTGGTGATAACAAGCCGGAAGTCTTGCGCCAGTTACAATAAAAGGATGGAGTTTCACACCAACGAATCTTTGTATGCTAATGAAAAAGAGTATTTTGACTTTCATGATGTCTTTCTGCGAATGATGCGACTACCATTGGAGTTTACTGTCGTCTATTACCGCATTTTGTTATAAAGCCGGTGCTTGGCGTGAAAATGTATTTCTTAATGTCAATTCGGTTCGGTTAGGACCTATTCAAAGCCTGCAATGTGCCCGTACTGTAAGCGATCTTTCTACTATGACTTGACGAGTCTGAAAGTGGACAAAGGGCCTGTTTGTCATTCAGAATTTGCAAACATTTCTGTTGTAAGCATCACCAACCCTCTCAATCGAAGGACAGCTCTCAGCCGATGGGTGGTGCTCTACGGTCATTTGCTAGTTAATTTGCTGCTAATGGGAGACTCAGCTGAGTCTCCATTTAATCTCTGATTTATGATTTCGCAACACCAAGTTCTCCTAGTTTTGGAGCGGTACCCATGATATCAACGTAGCACTAAATGTAGAGTTGGTGCAACGTTTTCTTCCACATGACAGTCGAGATGGCCCAAGTGGTTAGAGTGCGAATTTACTGACCGGAAGGTCCGTGGTTCGAATCCGACCTCCGCCACTCGACTTCCCCTGTCTAGGCTTGGGCAACCTGGCAGTATCCCAGCCCTCGTGCTTCCTTCGGGTGGCATGGCAGCTAGGCATCGGAAGGGTGCTACAGCTGAACGCTTTCTTTCTTTCTTTCTTTCTTCCTCCATAAATCGTACGTCCACATATAGTTATGGCTAATTGGCGTCCATCACTTGGACTGCTGAACTCACTGTGATACTATTTTCCAATAAAAATCGACAATTGTCTGGGTTGTGTCACTGAGGTTGTATTTTGGCCGAGTGCTTCAAATCAGAATATTCATTGGGTTTAGCACTAGCCTTCATTGCGTGGTTCTCAGAAAGACAAAGTCCACACTATTCACCACTCAACCAGGCAAAATGTTGTTGATTGGTTATTTTGACCTGGCTGCAGGAGCGTTATGGTGTCTGGAAAACTAACGCTCGGGTCATTTATTTATTGCTATTTTGGACATTCATCTTGGGTCGAGCGATGATTCTGACTCTGACGCCGTACTAGTCTTTGTTCCTCACGGAATTGGACTACATAAAAAGCAGAGTTCGTGGTAGGAACTCCGTGGAAACCAACCTCAGTGGCTTGTGAAGGTGCGCGCCCATCTTGCGTTTGAAGAGCTAAAGTCCGTAACAATTTCGGCATACAGAAATTTTCAGAGACTCGGAGAAAGAATGAAGGAGTAGGCAAGGTAATTCTGTAGTGGAAGACAAGGCATGAACATACCGTCAGCTTCAAACGCCAAAAAGAGGAATTTAAGAGGCCAGTCTCGACGACGAATATCCCCCTAGGTAGTAGCAGCATTATAACTTAGTACATTCAGAAGGTTGTTGCAATAAGGTGCTTTGATTTATCTTGAAAGGCAGTGAGTAAGGTAAGATCAAGGGGTCTCACGATAGATATAACGGCAGAATTCCATGATATGGCTAATTCCAAACTAGAGTAAGTTGACTCAAGCTCGACTTAGATTTTCAACCATCCCAAAGGCTTTGACGTGAATGAACTGGGAGCGCTTGCTAGTAAAATAAGTCCAAAAAGGAAGGGCAGGGACGGCATGATTATAACCGAAAGGTATTGACCTTTCTATGGGAAACGGTTAGGGGAGACGGGTGTATGAATGGTTCTGGACGGGTCGAAGGTTGTCACATTCGTTGTGTTCCAACCAGGAATTAGTGCTGTAATGCATAGCATAATCGGTGAGCGAAAACGCTTTGGAAGAGAAAATGCGAGGGATGATGAGGAGTGCCATCATCTGTGAAGGTCCGAACATGAAACATAGACGACGATAAGCTATCGATGTGAAGAAGGGTGAGTGAACTCTATAAATTACTGTTCAGAGATTCTGCATCCCGGAAACAATGCATTTGAGTAGAACGGCTGTTCGCGAAACTACTCCATTTGATCAAGTTGGATTGTACGCTCACATGGGGCGTTCTGCAAAGGTATCTGAATGCCAGATATGATATGATGATTTTGGACCGTAGAGTGGAATCAGCCTCAGTCACTAGTTGAGTTTAGATAGAAGAGTACCTCATGTGCATTACTTTGGCCACCATGCTGCCTGTGGATCGATAGTGCCTGATCCCATAATGGTGATTGATCGGAGGAGCACAGTCTTTACGACCGAAAAAATTGAAAGAGCTGACTCCAGAACGGAAGCAGCGTTCACCACGGTTAAACTCAGCTCGTGTTTGAAAATCACTGTGAGCGGGGCGGCATTGAGAGTCTGCTGACCGCTGTCTGTTCACATCATTTTGGGTTTGGAACTCAGGCTATTTCGTTATGTTGTGGAATCCGCGATCAGCTGCTTGGTACGCGGAATAGTAGTTGCCCTAACCTGGATGTCGGCGGTAATTACCCTAAATTTGGTTTCCAACTGTGTGTGGTTTTCGATATTTTCCAATCTCATCGGTAGAATGAGCTTTTGTGGATGCCTTTATTATTGATAGCTCTATCGTCCTGTACCTCACCGTTAGCCCTGTGTGGAAAGGAGTTTGCTACAGAAGGGTCCCATAAGTTCTAGATAGGAAAACATATGATACAGTTCATTCCTTTCAGTATGAATGTCGCATCGCCAATGGCCGTGCCTAATAAATTACCGACCTTTTTTAACAGGCTAGCCCTTCTACTAAAGTGCCTGTTCCCACGAGTCATCATATATTGCACTAGGAAGCTATCTTTGCGCGTTCTAAGCGTGTTTTCGAACAGGGAATGTTTTCATTACCAACGGCTACCTTCATAGTGGTCGGAAGTAGTTGGGAACAAATATCCTATGGAATATCGCATCTTTCTTGAATTCGGACCATTTATTGAGTAAATGGAAATCGCCCCCTCGTTTTCCTAGATAGTTGCCCAACTGATCGTGAAGACAATGTGGTGTTTTCGTTTGTTGGCGTACCCTAAACTCCACAACAATCGGAACTCGACGTGTGGAGCTCCATTACGTCGGAGGAAGACTCTCGGCCGGTACTGATGCCGATCAACGTCCAGGTACTGGGAATTCTCCGGTCAACTAGCACTGAACGTGTCCCTTTCTGGGTCCACAGGCCAGCTCTCAGCGCTGAGATTTTCATCGACAGGACTATAAGTCACCAAAGTCCATTTGAGCCACTGGCAAATGCGCCGTATCTCAGCAGTTAGAAGATACTTCCCTTTTAAGACGTGCAGTTATACGTGTGAGCAGTCCGTATTGGAATGGAGGCGCGTTGCACGCTGGCTTCGGGAGAATGTTTTTATGCTACTGACAGCCTTTCAGTAGCATAAATACCCTACGAAGTTAGGTCGAAAGCCTCATGTGAATTTTCAATATACTGAGAAAGAAGGCACTAGCCGATCCTATCCGCAATTTTCAACATGAAGGGTGACAACGATACAGATATGAAAAGTGTCATCAGAAAAAAATCTATACGAAGTGTATCTATTGGTTCAAAAAGGAAGCTGCCGCGTTTCGGTATGGACAACTAACCGTTTTGGTTGAGATCAATTAATACTGTATGATTCTCGACAAGATTACCCGGATTAATACAAGCGTCACTAAACTTGGTGTTCTCAACGCAGTACTTGGTATTTCACTATATACAGTAATAATAGAGCAACAGAATCGCGAGGCATCAGTGTTTTTGGAAAGGTCCACTTGATGTAACAGGCGAACTGCACATGTGTGGAAGGTCACATGCAGTAACAAGCTGCAGGTATGTGTGACCGATTCGGGATTATCATGCACTAGAATATGGTTGATGTGGAACCCGGTTGTAACCTCTTTAAGTGGCTGACATCTTAGTTTTTTCACTGTAGTGGTACCTCAAGGATATCATACGGGTTCCACTGCCCCTATCAGGAGCTGCATTTGCATATGTGCAGGGGGTCTTAAGCATCTCTTGCTGTGCGAAGATCGTCAAATCAGGTCAAGATTTTCGCTCTGACTATTTGATGCGGGCGTGATTCCAGACTACTTGGAAAATAACTTTGACAACACATTTCCGCGTTTTTATGGTGAAGAAATGGGATATTGGTTTACTTTTCGACTGACGCATGACTGACTTTCCTGCAGCGGTCATATACATACACACAGAAATGGTTTACACATTCTTGTGGGATCTTGGCATATTTCTGACAAATTCATTGAAGGTTTTCACTTCGGAAACTCTTACTTTTAATTCACCGACCTTGGAACCTACCAAAAATAATCCACCACGTGTTCAATCGATCGTTTCTACTCAAATTGCCGCGCATTTTCTTGTCCAACTGATTAAATCATTTTTTCATTAGGTTTAAGTGCTGCTGGTTACCACACGGATGCCTTGTGAAGCACAACAGGACAGTCTGTGTAAAGATTTATTTTCAAGAAATCCAAAACCATCCGTTTCCTCCTGGACGGCCAGATCACCTTGGTACGTATGTTTTACCAGGATACAAGGTTTTATGCCGAGCCATAGGTCGTTTACTCAGACATATGCGCTTTGCAGCTTAGCACTCACCCATCATAGCACACGGTCTGTATAGGGGCACCGTTTACCCTCTGCTTCAGGGAAACGTCTTCGGATAGTGCCAAAACATTCTCTTCTGGAAGGACTGATTAAGAAAGACCACATCACGCGCGTTTGTAGAGTAAGACAGCTAAATTTCTGGTGTATTTTACTGTACTGAACTGTCTTTTGTGGTGGAATACTTCGTTTTTTACTGAATAGAAGCTCAGTCCTTTCGTTTATCCGTAACTGAGACATACCCATGCAGTGCGGATGGCCCCTCATCCGTAGCACCATTATCTCCATCTAACCAGCTCGGCAAGAGAGCTACAAAGCAAAATGGTTCATCTAAAAATGTACTCGCATATGACAGTGAAAGCTATGGGCAGAATGGGAGCTCGATCGATATCCGTCTGTGGCGCGTTGCTGCATCATGTGCTTCGACTTCATTGCCCTCAGTACACGTTGCAACCGTGCTGTATCCGGTAGACAGCCATATCTCAGGCCAACTGTTTGACAAACGAAGTCTAATCAGGAAGTTCCTAATAATAGTATATAAGCAGTGCTTATGACGTCAACTGAATGATGTTACGTACGGCTGCTTGATCTAGATTAATGGCATGTGGGGCTTTCACCGTTGTCTTATCGCTTATAGAGAAGATCAACCGTTCGGAAAACCGGATCACACTTTCTGTGCGCTTTGGAAGATTGTAGTGGGAAAAATCCGCACTGTCTTCTCAGCTAAATCGTTCCCTCGGCGACAGAGTACTTTGTTACTGATAAATCTCACCGCTGATTTGAATGCTAAGAGTATACGGGAAGTGTGAAGGATGCGGTTTCCTATCACATTGGTGTATCATCTGATTCTCAAATATTGCCCACCGGGTAGTTACCCTCTGACTCATCACAAAGCTACTGTTATGACAGGCTATTGAAATCCTACACCTCTCAGTAAGGAACAACGTGCGCCCTACAAGGAACTCTTCATTTATTTCTTGTGAACCCACCACTGAAAATTTCGTGAGGAATAGGGAATCCCAAACAAAAGATACCTTCTGTAGCTTCGTAGCGTTGATTCGCTTTCCAACAGGAACACCTGGTTTTTGGATAACGGTGACGGACACCACCAATCACTATTAAGGTTACGAGAACCCGGATTTCGGATGCAGTGGGGATTCAAAAGCTATCCAATTGAGCATTTTGACTAGGCAACACGTGCTCACTCTCACTTAATCCTTGTTCATTTCTACCTTCGGAACGTGGTGCAACTTCAGGTTGTTGTTCTCTCCTACTAAAAACCAACGTGACTCTATCCTGATATCTCCTCAGCAATATTTCTGTGTTGAATCTTTTACAGCAAGTTCTTTTGCTCGACTACTTTCCCACCATTTCTGTTTTTCCGTTTTTCCTGTGTTTTGAATCTAATTTTTCAAACACTGATTTAAGTTCGTTTACTGGAAGCCTATCTCCGAGTGCAGACGTTTTCCCTAACTTCAACTTTCCACACTTCTCGATGGACACGACCAAATAGACAGGCGTAATAACAGATGAGCTAATAACTGACGCGGAGCACTTGTTTTCAGTGGGCGACCATCGCATGAATCAGGCGATTCGGATCAGGGGTATCTTGTATCAGAAGCCATAAAAATTAGTTCTCTTGATCAGTAGTGACAAATGATCTCTGGTATTATTAGGGTCTGTAGTTAAGTAATCTATGTAAGTAGTGCAGTGAACCCCATTTCTAGTGTATCCGGTTCATTCGGAGTTCCTACACTTAACTCCTGGCAAGGAACACGAATTGTCTGATAAGTTTATCCACCCAACTGGCTTCTTCGGAAACGAAACCTCTTTGATGGCCCCTTTAAAGTCTGTAAGTACTCCTTTAGGTCTGACAGGACAACCCTTCGAGTTACAGAACAAGGTACAGTTTACCACCGCTTCAATTTCCGTACAACTAGGTGATGATCCGGTGAATTTAGCTGAACAAACTTGATTGGTAAACTTTTCTGTAGCTGCCAGTCTTCTGTACCAAAACTGGTGGACGTGTCTCTGTTTCTAAGGACCGCTGTGATGAATCCAAGCATTACACACAAATAACGTGGTGGCGTGACAATCACTGAACTAGGCACACAAGCTTATGAGGACCGACTTATGTGGTTTAGTGTAGCCAAGCTTCAGTGTTAAATCATCACTCCAAGCAGTGTACTGATACATAGGTATCGTTATTCAGTTACTCCTAATTACGATCAATCTTTTCTTACTAATACGACACCCATAAAGTTTCAGAAAAGCATTGACAGCCCATAACTAATTTCACCCTCCTTAAGACTCATCAGATAGGCAAAACCAGTCGTGCGCTTTCAATAACCTTATTAGTACCGTGTTCCTACAGTAAAATATACTACAATATTTCGAATACCGTACCAACTGGAACGAGAGGCGATCTTTTTGCAATGCACCCAGTTGAAGAATATTACAAACGAGAGATCTAAGTGGGATTTCGTTGAGTCTCTTGTTAACATCACTTTAGTCTGCAGGTTAGCGTATTTCAATAATTAGTCTTTGCGATTATTCATCGCTGTCAGTGCTCCTAGAGCGATTTCCGTTTTTTGTTCGTAGTTCACAGAAATTCTGTCGAAGTGACACTGCACTTGGAAAGAGTTTGGCAGCATCACGCCATTATCCAGATAATTTTGTAATATTTTAAGGTCATGCCAGTACCACCATCTTGGTCGTCCGAACTGTTTTTTACTACTGTATCGGTCTGGAGAAGCAGTTTGATAGACCGTCTTAATCACCGGTTCCCAATCAGGAGGAAGGAAGGAAGGAAACTTTCAAGACATCAAAAGAAGAATGTAGATCCCATATTGTGGAAGCACCATATGCTAGGATACTAGTTTTCGGTCCGACTCATCTGGTATTCGAATCGTTTTACACGCCTTTGCCATTTTTGGGAAGGTTTATTTTTGTTTTTGCTGCCATCAGCTGCATAGTCTAATGAGTTAATGATTTTACCTGTTTTCTAGGAACGTGTGGTTTGGCTACGCAAGATACCTTTGGAGTTGAAGAGTTATAGACTGCATGACTGAAAGGGTAATGTATTAGGAAAATGGTAGGTGGCAGTTTATGAATGCGCAACTTCATTCCAATTTGTGTTTCCGTTACACGCGTCCAAAGTTGCGCACACATTCCCGAGCTCCAAACACACTTGGGAAGCCAAAAAGATCAGAGTGACATCCAGAATGGCAATGTTCGCTGTTGCCCGGAGCGACTCTGTCCCACGTAGAATGGCGAATAGCAAGGGTTACGAACAGGCAATCTGATCTGGCCTAAAATCTATCATGCAGCGCCACATATTTAAGCTTGATCAAAAATTAAGTGAAGTTACGTACCCCGAAAGGTGGATTGATTAGCCTATTTAAGAAGGGAGTTCTTCCT